GGATGACAAAACATTTTCCAGTAAAGACCACAGGAAAGACAAATTATATTCTTTCTGTGTCCTTTGGGTAAATACCTAGGAGTGGAATTGCTGGATCATATGGAAGCTCTATCTTTAGTAGGTTGAGGAATCGCCACACAGCTTTCCATAGTGGTTGGACCAGTTTGCACTTCTACCAGCAGTGCAGGAGAGTTCCTTTTTCTCCACATCTTCACCAACATTTGATGTTGCTAGTTTTTTAAATATGTGCCATTCTCACTGGTGTGAGAGGGTATCTCATTGTAGTTTTGATTTGCAAGTGATGTTGAACATTTTTTCATATGCCTGTTGGCCATTTGTATTTCCTCTTTGTATAAGTTTCTTTTTAGCTCTTCTGCTCATTTTTTGACTGGATTATTTTCTTTGTTTTTGTTGAGTCTTGTCAGCATTTTGTAGATTTTTGTGATCAGTCCTTTATCATTAGTGTTGTGTGCAAAAATGTTCTCCCATTTGTTGGGGTTTCTCTTTGTTTTGGTTATTGTCTCTTTTGCTGTGCAGAAGCTCTTTAATTTGATGTAGTCCCAGCTGTTTATCTTTGCCTTCACTATCACTGCTTTGGGTGATGTGTCTGTAAAGATGTCTTTGAAGTGCATGTCATGTAGTGTTTCGCCTATATTTCCTTCTATAAATTTTATGGTTTCAGGTCTTATGTCTAGTTCTTTAATCCATTTTGAGTTGATTTTTGTGCATGGTGTGAGGTAGTACTCAAGTTTCATTCTTTTGCATGTAGCAACCCAGTTTTCCCAGCACCATTTATTGAACAAACTTTCTTTGCTCCAGTGAATATTTTTTACTCCTTTGTCAAAGATTAGTTGACCATAAATCTGTGGGTTTATTTCTGGGTTTTCTATTCCGTTCCATTGGTCTGTGTATCTGTTCTGGTTCCAATACCTGCAATTTTGATTATTATGGCTTTGTAGTATAGTTTGAAATCTAGGAGAGTGATGCCTCCATTCCCTTCTTTTTTTTTTCAGGAGGGTTTTGGCTATTCGGGGTTTTTGTTGGCTCCATATGAATTTCATCAATATTTTTTCTATTTATTTGAAGAATGACATTGAAATTTTAATTGGAATAGCATTGAATCTGTAAATTGCTTTTGGTAGGATGGCCATTTTGATAATGTTAATTCTTCCAATCCATGAGCGGGGGATGTCTTTCCATTTCTTTGTGTCGTCTTCTATTTCTTTTAACAGTGTTTTATAGTTTTCTTTATATAGGTCCTCTACTTCTTTCGTTAGGTTTATTTCCAAGTATTTAATTTTTTTTGTTTCAATAATGAATGGTTTTCTTGATTTCTTCTTCAGATTTATTGTTTGTGTATAGGAAGGCTACTGATTTTTGTGCATTGATTTTGTATCCTGCCACTTTATTAAACTGATTGATTACTTTGAGGGAAGGGGATGGAGAAACACCACTGCTGAATATTTGGTAGAATTCATTTGTGAATCTGTCTGGGCCTTGGCTTTTGTTTTTGGGGAGTTCTTTGATTACTGCTTCGATTTTGCTGCTTGTAATTGGTCTGTTTAGTTGTTCTATTTCTTCTTTGTCCAGCTTTGGATGATTATATCGTTCTAGGAATTTGTCCATCTCTTCTAGGTTGTTGAATTTGTTTGCATATAAGTGTTCATAGTAATCTCTGATTATTCTTTTGATTTCTGCTGAATCTGTTGTGATTTCTCCTCTTTCATTTATAATCCTATTTATATGTGTTTTCTCCCGTTTTTTTCTTTGTGAGCCTTGCTAGAGGTTTGTCTATTTTGTTTATTTTTCAAAGAACCAACTTTTGGTTCCATTGATCTTTTGGGTTGTTTTTATACTTTCTAATTCATTTATTTCTGCTTCAATTTTTATTATTTCCTTTCTTCTACTGGCTACTAATTCATTCTTTAAAAGAAGAATATCACAGGTGTTCCGGGGGGGCATAACACCTTTTTTCATTTTTTTTGTTATGAGTTATGATTTTTGACATAAAATAAACCTTATTTAGTATTGCTCAAACTAAAATTTTTGGCTGAATTATGACAATTTAGAACAAGTGCTAAAAAATTTGTTTATAAATACACATGAATCAATCAAATTAACTATTTCTTTGAAAATAATTTCAGAAATATATATGTAAGAAATGAACATAGAGAATAAAATGTTTTTTTATGAATATATAATTTTTGATTAAAATGGAAAAATCTGAATGGCTTTAATTAAAATTTTAGAAAAATCATAAGCTTATATAGTAAGTCATTTTCCTCAATAATCTAATGTTTATCATCAATATGAATTTTGTTATACCTTAGCCTAAATGCTTCTTTGCCCTTTGACATGTTTTGCTCAGTCTTCCATATATTTTATTTTATTTTTTTTAAAGATTTATTTATTTATTCATACAAGCACTGGGTACAGTCAGAAGCGCGGGAGGGTGAGAGAATTCACCAGAGCCAGAGCAGGAAGCAGAGCAGGCAGACTGACCAAGTACACTGCTGAGGGGAGCAGCAGGCGGCAGGAGAGGTCTGTGCACCATGTGGGACACTCGCCTGGAGGCCGGGGATCGAACCGGCGCTGCAGAGGCTGCGGGCAGTGTCGCAACCCAGCGCTTAACCGCTGCGCCACCGGGGAGGCCCTCTTCCATATATTTTAAATGCTCTTATATTTGAGGCATACTTTGAAGGGCTCATAGCAGGTAAGGGTTACTTATGTTTTTCTCAGAGGCAAACAGTAACCTCTATGGGCTGAGGGAAATGATTTTCTCTTTAGATCTTAACAGCAGGGCCAAATAAGTAATTTAAAGGATAGAGAAACAATTCTTGGTTTAATAATGTTAGTATTCATAAATAACAAACAATTCACTAGCACGCCAACATGCTCCAATCTACTAAGTTCTTTCAAATATTGTTTAGGGAATTTGGAGCCCCACTGCAGATCTCTGGCTAATTTACAAGAGCAGTAAACAAAATCCTAGATTCAAAGCAGAGCAGGTTAGCTCCTAATATGCTCATGATAAATGTAGTTTAATTTAATTTTTAATCTGTTACAGGAGCTATTGGTTATTTAGACAATTATGACGCCTCTGTAATGCAACTCTCTAAGAACATTTGGCTATTCAGGATTTGCTAGGAAGTGGAGTAAAACCACAGGGTATTTGGCAATAATGTAAGATCTACCTATATAGAAAAGATGACTGGTCAGGTTTTTTTTTCAATAACACTAAAGCATGTTATTGTTTCTAGCAGTGGCTTTCAAACTTTTTTGAACACAGTTCACATTAAAAGTGACATTTTGTGTCACACCCAGTACAAACACAAGCACGTGCACACACACACACACACACAAACACACTCCCAAAACCAAAATTTTCACGAGACGATACTGAACTTTTTTATTCTAAGCCACTAAATTAATTTCCTGACCCACTAATCAGTACAGCCCCTTTCATTGTTCTGTAAGAAAACCAAGACTGCAGTTTCTAAAGTATATAAAAATAGTCATTATCAGAATGGAAGTTCTCTTCTGGTGGGGTAGGATGAGATGGGAGATAAGGTCTAAACAAGTAACATATTTTTAGAGTTAAATCTACTTAACACTTAAAGTAGAAATCTCTATCATTTAAAACTTGGGACAGGTTTTCCCAATAGTACTCTTTAAATCGATGAAATTAAGTGCCACTTCCCTTTTTGTAACATTTTTATACACAAAATACAGCACATGTTTGAAATATTTTTAAAAGCATTTTCTTAAATTAAAAAGCAATATATTATCAGTGTAGTAAATTAAAATACAAAAAAAAATTAAAAGTATCTCACAAGCAAACGAAAATCATGTTAACATTTCTATGTCACTTTGTTTTTATATTTTTAAGCACGCACACAGATAGAATTTGGATTACATATGAAGATGTGCTTCCCTCCTAAATATTATACTATAAACATCTATTAATTTCATAAAATGGCTTAAAAGGAAGATCACTCTGGTATATTTATGTAGGACATTATATAAAATAATAATGTTCATATAATGAATTTTCCTTTTGGTCCATAAAAACGGAAGTATAGCAGTTTCTAAGAAGCATATTAATGTTTTATTTTTTAAAGATTTATTTATTTATGCATACAAGAGCTGGGGTAAAGGCCAGCGATGCAGGAAGCGAGAGGATTCACCAGAGACAGAGTGGGGTACAGAACAGGCAGACTGACTGAAATACACTGGTGAGGGGAGCAGCGGGCGAGACAGGAGAGGTCTGCTGCGCCATGTGGGTTGCTCCCTGGCCACCGGGAATCAAATTCATGCTACAGAGGCTGTGGATTGCTTCACAGTGGGGTGCTTAACCCCTTGCACCACCAAGGAGGCCCAGAAGCATATTAATGTTAAGAAGCATCTCCTTTTCTTATTTAGCTGATTAAAATCATTACAGTTTTATTTACTCTAATATGGATCTCATCTCAGTCAGCTAGTCATTGTCAAAAGCTCAGTCCTTTGCTCAGTCTTATTTCCTTTTTGTCTTTGTTGCATTTCCCTTTATTATTCAAATATGTAAGAATTTTTTCTTTACATATATCAAAAAAGCCTCTATATAACTTCCAGTTTCCACTCCACATATGAGAACACTATGATTAGTCTAGATTGTATATGGATTTCACTTTTTACTTTTTCTAAAATGAACTTTATTAACTAACTTAGCACTTTGTACTGTGATCAAGATAAGGAATTTCTCCCAATATCTGTTTCTTCCACTGAAAAATAAGGATAATATTTGACTTCATCACAATAGGAATACATAGGCAATTAATGTTAATAAATTTTCATGAGGATCTTTTGTAATTACCAATATAAGTATACACAAAAACAAAAATAAAAAGTAAAGATTTTAGGAAGGTTTGAAAACATGATGATAATTTTGGCATCCAGTTTACCTTTTCAACAGTATATTGGTTAAAGGTGCTTTTATGCATATAGACATTTTATCATCTTACCTGAACCATTTTTCAGATACCCATTTGCATCTACAGTTGTATACATGATGTAAGGTCCAGGCTGATTTACTCCAAAAGGCTGCAAAAAAAGGAGGGAGGGGGGGAATAGTTAAGCCTTGGAAAGATAGTGAGTATTTTGAAGTTGCGGGAAAATTAATTACAAATAAAGTAAAATATCCTTACATGTAATCCTTACATAGGTAGCACTTAGAAAACATCTCCATAAATAGATTAACAGTTCAAAAGAAAACCTGTTATTAGAATATTTTAAAAATTTGAATGATTTGATAGCTGTATTTATTAAATTTATTTGGTTTATAAATTTATGCACTGCTTATTATATATGATTGAATATTTTCTGCAAAATTTGCTACTTTTGATTCCATCTAGATTTGCTACAATAGGCTACAGCAGTTTTATAACATATCTGTTGAATACTGCTTTTCCCTTCTGGGATAGAGTGAACATAGTTTAATTTTCCTTTTAAAATATTAAAGTAAATAAAATCCATCCATCATAATTAAGAAAGGGTGAAAAATATTGGTGATTAAATCACCACATTTAATTTCCTGCACCAGATTTAGAGAGGACATTGGTTTCAAGTTAAGGAAAATATGATTGACAGATTTTTGTTACAGTGGTGAGATTTTTTTCCACTTGTTTATTGTTCCCTGTTTCTGTAATACTTTCACACCTAAATATGTTATTGATTCTCTTTAGAAATTCGGGCTAATTAGATAGTTATAAATAAACCAATGTTTGCAATGTGCAGCTAAAAAGAAAAAGCAAAATATTGAAGACATGTTTTGAACACTTCACACAATTTAAAGCTCTGCTGTTCCTCCCAATAGAGTGGGGCAAAGTCCACACATTTGGATAGTACAGTAAATGTGCTACAAATGATTTTCTTCTAGAATTACAGGCAAGAAATAATTAATTTCATCAATCCCACCACTGCCTGTTTAATATTTTAAGAACTTTAGAAGTCCATGTGCTTTCAGTGACCATGAAATACAGGTTATTATAAAAATGGAACTAACTACTTATATTATTAACTGAATAAAATATCCTTTATTATTTTAAGCATGCAAACATATAGAATTTGGATTACATATGGAGATGTGCTTCCCTCCCAAATACTATACTATAAACATCTATTTTTTTTCAATAACACTAAAGCATGTTATTGTTTCTGGCAGTGGCTTTCAAACTTTTTTGAACACAGTTCACATTAAAAGTGACATTTCATGTCACACCAAGTACAAACACAAGTGCATGTGCACGCGCATACACACACACACACACTCCCAAAACCAAAATTTTCACAAGACGACACTTAACTTTTTTATTATAAGAATATAAAATAAATAAGAATATTTATTTTAAGAATAATAAAAACAAACTTGTTAGTGAAGTATTGTTATGTAGAAAGAATATTATGCTTTATATTAATCTATATTCTGGAAGACTGGTATCGGGTTATAAGAATTGTTTTTTTTATGAACATTCCCTATTCTTAATTTTTTTTTTTTGTGGGACACTCGCGGGCGGCCGGGGAACAAACCGGCGCTGCAGAGGCTGCGGGCAGCCTCGCAGCACAGCGCTCAACCGCTGCGCCACCAGGGGAGGCCTTATTCTTAAATATTTTAATTAAAATTCACACATGGAAAATTTTGTATTACTACCCATGCTATCTTATTGTAAAGATTTACAAAGGCAGCTTTCCCTCTCTTGTGCTATATTAAATTAAATAAGCCAGGTCAGCAAGTCTCTATCATGAGTCCTAAAACTGAAGTTCATTTTTCAACATGGAGCATTTAAGGACAGGTCCAGAAACCTAGAAACAATTTCTCTGTATAGTGGATCTCAAAGTGTGGGTAAGGACCCCTGAGAGTATAAAAACTTTTCTGTAAAATGGGTGGGTAATGAGCACTGGCACTGAATTATGGCTATTCAGACTTGGATATTTTGCCAACATTTTCCTTGAAAATGACAAAGTGAGTCTGTCACTTTTTAGGAAAACAACTGACAGTATTTGTTGCTAGTGATAAAATTTGAGTTTCTAAATGAAAATTGGGATTTTGAAAGATTTGTAACTGCCACGATGGCCTGACATATTAAAACCTTAAGCAATTTTCTGATGAAATTGGTGGTGATATTAATAAATGTGATTTTAAATATAATATTGTGAAGCGTGTTAACATGATGGAGTTGTACATAACTTAGTACACCAATATTTTCCAAAACCATGCATGGATAAAAAACCCATTCAAAGTGTAAGATGGACCGAAAAATTTTCCTGTAATAGAGTAGGGGAGAATCATTTCTGGAATTGCATATAGGACCTCAAAACAATCACAAATGGCAATGAGAATACTGGCAAAAATGATCAAAATAAACTTTTTCAGACTCTGGAAATTAAAGGTTTGCAAGAGTCTGGGGAGTACTTAATCAAGAAAAGAGACTGAGTCTGGAAAAGAATAGTTTATTTTGTTATGTTTCAATTTGCCCTATTCCCATAACCTCAACAGCTCTGAAGTATCCATGAAAATGAACAGCTTTATAACTAAGATAACTATGAAAATGAATAGCCGAGTAGCCAATTGAGGGGCAGAACAAGTTTCAAGCTCCCCAAAGTTGTGCCATAAGACAATTGTCACTCTTTGATACATCTGGTAGCTCCTAGAAATACTCCATTCTCAGTATTTGTCTTTAATTGGCCAGACAGAGTTTACTGTGTGTAAACAGTTCTATCACTGGAAAGTTTGTTAAAAACAATCATCAGTAATCATCTAACATTTAATCTGTCTGAGTCAGTGATATTAGTTTGGGCTAATAAGAGGGCAGCAAAAGCTTGAAAGGAAAAATGGAAAAAAGATTTTCAAAGGGAAAATTTGAAAAACTCTGACATATTCCTGGAGATCCAGGAAGCCAAACACATGTGGAACACTATTTTCATACCTAGAAAAATCCCTAATCTCTCACATAATTTATCATGTAAGTAATCTTATGCAGTTAACCACTAAACTAACTTCAAAACCTATACACAATTAACAATAGGGCCTTTCAAGTACTAGTGCAGGAAAAATCATTTAATAAAAGGCAACAGAAAAATACATAGTAAAAATAACAAATCCAGTGGGAGGATTTCCCAGGTCAACACATTTAAAATGGTCATTTTTCAGCAAAACTAGCACGCATGCACACACACACCCACACACACAGAGTAAAATATGGTTCACACACAAGAAAAAAGATGCCAATAGAAATTACCTCTAAGAACTATCTAGATGTTTAATTTACTAAGCAGAGTCTTTAAATCAGCTATTATAAAAATGTTAAAGAGCTAAAGGAAATCATGTCCAAAGAATTGAAGGAAATTATAGCTATGTTTCAAAAAATAAAGTATGAAAAAAGAGAAGTCATAAAAACAACCAAACAGATTCTAGAGTACAATAACTGAAATGAAAATTTCACTAGAGAGGCTCAATAACAGATTGAAACTGGCAGAAGAAAGAATAAAAAATTGAAGATAAAAAATGAAGAACAAAAAGAAAAAGAATGGCTCCTCAGAGACATATGAGGCAGTGTCAGGAATACCAACAATAATAGGAGTCCCAGAAAGTGAGAAAGTGACAGAAAGAATGTGTGAAGCAATAATGACTTCAAGTGACCAAATTCAATCTGCACATCAAGAAGCTTAACAAACTCAAAGTTGGATAAATGGGAAGAGAGCCACAATGTATACATCACAGTCAACCAAACTCCTTATAGTGAAACTGTTGAAAAGCAGAGAGCACTTTAAATATACCAAGAGAGAAGCAATCCATCATGCTCAAGGGATCTTCAATAAGTGTAACAACTCATTTCTCATCAGAAACCAAGGGAGGCAGCAGGACGATATAATCAAAGTGTTGAAAGGGATAGATTGTCTACTAGAAAGTCTAAAATCCAGCAAAATTATCCTTCAAGAACAAAGGTGAAATTAACACATTGCTCAATAAAAACAGATAATTTGTCATAGATCCAGCTGACGAACTGGAAATATTAAAGGAGCCCAGAAGGCTGAATTGGAAGTACACTAAACTCAAATCCATACAATTAACAACCAGGTAGTATTAATCTATTTTTGTGTGTAGTTCTTTTCTCCTGCCTAATTTTAAACACCACTGCATAGAGTAATAATTAAAAACTATGTTGTTGGCTGCATAATATATGAAGAGGTAATTTCTATGCCAAAACAGCACAAAGAGGAAGGAGTAAACTTAGGTATAAGTGGATAAAAGCCTGTTTATACTATTAAAGTTTAGCTGGTACTAATATGAATTAGTGTGTTTCTAAATTAAGATAGAATGTAATTTTGAGAGAACCCATTAAGAAAATAACTTAACAAATGGATTGCAAAAGACAAGGGAATGAAGATCACACCCTAAAATATATAGATAACATAAAAGAAAGAGGTAATGGTGGAACTGAGGAAGAAGCTCAACAAGGAAAGAGAATAATTGAACAACAATACAAACCAACCAGACCCATCATACATGTATGAAACATCATATCCAGTTAAAACAGAATTCAATACATATTTTGCTCAAGTTACATGGAACAATCACCAGGAGGGAGCCATATACTAGATCATAAAACAAGTCACAATACATGTAAAAGTAATGAAAATTGTGCAAAATATGTTTTTGACCACATAGAATTAAATTAAGTATCAACAACAGGAATATCAGAAATTCATAAATGTGTGGAAATTAAAAGACTTCTAAATAAGCACTTGGTTTTGGGAAAGTCAATTATCTGAATAGTGTGTCTGTCTTATACCAGGTACTAAAAGAGATTTGAAAAAACTATGTAAAGTAATGCCATTTTTATTTTATTTAAAGATTTATTTCTTTTATACAAGAACTGGGGTACAGATCAGAAGCACGGGAGGGTGAGAGAATTCACCAGAGCCAGAGTGGGGAGCAGAACAGGCAGACAGACTGAAGACACTGAGGGGAGCAGCGGGCGAGGCAGGAGAGGTCTGCCACACCATGTGGGATTCTCCCTGGCCGGCGGGGAATCGAACCGGTG